GATATGGGAAACAATATGTACTTTTTACGTAACGACAAAAGTCTTTTATTTTTCTCTAATAAAGTGCCTTATTAAAATGAAGATAATTGGCCGGAATAGAAATATAAAAAACACATCGTTTACTTGATCGTTGGTTGTTTATTATGTTACAAGTTCACCATATTCAATAAAGACATACATTTTCAATTGTATTCCATTTTACACCGGACCAATACATATATATATTCTCAATCACAGAAAAAAAATGTAAATCTAGGCAAACTTATGTTTTCTGATAGGGCACGGTCTTCCAAAAATATCACAGGATGCAATTTGTCTTGATGATTCTCTTTTAGGAACGCCAGATTAAACAAAACATATATCAAAAAGTTTGAATTTTTTTATAAAGTTTATAAAATTTATAAAGTTTTTATAAACAAATATTTTTTTTACCCATCCATTCTGTATCTTAATTTAGGCAATAATAATAATGAGGCAATCTGATATTTTGTTTAGGTGATCTAGGCATGTCTGAAGCAGCAAATAGTACCACTACACCTTCTAGTGCCCCAAAAGTCACTGCTGCACCTAGTGGCGCAAAAGTCACTGCTGCACCTAGTGCCACAAAAGGCAAAGGAAGTGGTGGAAATGGTGTGGGATGCATCCGTATGAGCCCAGGAGTCCTGGCTATTCTCTTTGCTGCCGGACATATGTTAGTGATGACCCGGAACTAACAGAACTATCGATGTTGTGTCCACGTGTAGGTCATCAGTGTGGAGGTTATGACAAGACAACTTTGAAGGAACGCACTGATGTATCTGAAACACAATCTAGAAGACTTTGATTTTTTATAAATATGGATTTAGATTACAGATATTGATCGTTATTGTAATCTTTAGATTAAAGTAGAAATCAATTGTGTTCTGAAATTTAAAATTTGATTGAATTGTCACTTATAACAATAAAATCGTAACCATCAAGCGTATTACTTATTTTCTTGCTATTTCTGCAAAATTGAATTATTTTTGAGGACCATCCGTTATCAACTTTTTCTATTTATTCTCTGACACTCATTTGTAAAGTATATCTGTTTTAGACAACAGAGATTATGTGCATTTATGCCTGCATCATCCAATATTTTTCTCCAGCAATTGAAAGTTTGTCATATTGTTGTCTTCAGAATCCCTGTCCCACTGCAGGCGAAACACTGGAAAATTCTACTATACTGTTTTTTCTCAAAAATCTGTATCCTCCAATTAAAATTCCTTTTAGATATTACTGAGGCGAGACGGTTTCGTCGAACTTTCATTGACGAGAAAGCTCGTTTGGTAAGGGCTACGGTATTGTGATCGCAGGTCTAATATTCCAATGCCGGTCTTTCTTTGTGGAAGTTTTGATTTCAGAGCATTGGTTTATTTTATTTGTTTCTATATTTCCTTTTACACTTTGATAAGAGTATAGAGAGGTATTGGTACCTCCTCAAAACTATATATAAAATGTATTGTCATGCCGGTTAATTATTTCTTTTTAACAATGTATGGCAGTGGTACAGGTATTCTTAATCGATAAAGTGATCACATGATCTTCAAAAAATATTATAATACTCTTTCATGCCCAGGGATGTAGGATAGGGAAATTCCACCCCAGCGGGTTTTAAAATTTGGTAAAACCCCAGGCTTTGCCGAGGCTTTCACAATACGAATACCGATATAGAGTGTAAACACACTGTACCGAAAAGGTCCATTTCTTCATAGTGGTTTCCGATACAGAATGTGTACACACTCTTAATTAAAACGACTTAGAATCGTTTAAAAAATGTATTATATTCAAAATTGATAAATGAACATGTTTACCAAAGGGAGATAAGCTGAGGCAATTTTTGAAAAACTGGGGACCCATTTCTTTTCTAAATATATTACCCTTTTTAACATTAAACGTGGATTTCGTCATGTGACCCTATTTCCCCGTATTTTATGTGCAGAAGAACTAGGTATCAGACTTAGAAATAACAAAAGTATTAAAGGAATCAGGATAGAAAACACGACAATATTATTATCTCAATATGCTGATGATACTTCAATTATTCTTGATGGATCGAGAAACTCTTTAAGGGTAACATTAGAGGAATTCGACTCATAAACACAACTAAAGTTTTTGGATTAGAATAAAAAAATACAATGGTGATACATGTTTTCCAGAATGGAACTTGCATTGGGGGAACCACACGTTTACTGTATTAGGGATTGATTTTCATATTGATTTACACCAAATACCAAAAATGAATTTAAGTTTTCAAATTGTTTGAAAAAATTAAGCGTTTCGGTATCCAAGCAGCCACACATATAAAGGATTAACATTAATCTCAGACCAGGAAGTAAACACACAAATTGTGTTTGTAATCTGGCAATTGACGTGACAACTGATAATAATGAAAAATAAAGAAATTTGAAACCGTACTGAAGTATATCAAGATAAAACATATTGTAAGAAAGATAAAGAAATGAAATCAACAAAATATTTATAAAACAATCTGTTAAAGGAACCGATTTCGTTAAAGGAGTAAGCTACCTGTAGTTACTGTGTTTATAATATTACCCACGCCTATGTATGTTTATCGCTCTTTTTCATTCTAATAACAAAACTTCAATAACGAGGGTGTGTTCTTTATTTGACAGTTTGGAATCTAGAATATCTGAACCCGAATAAAAATTGATCAATTAATTGAACTTGCTATATTACATTAAATTGCATTTTTGTAACGTTTGACTTTGAAATTCGAATTTCACAATATCCGGTGACGTTATATTAAACCTTGCATTCACGAACATCTATATGCAATTGTACATGATATATATATCCAATGTCCTAATAACTGCTTGTATTCAATTTTGGTATGTTAATGTCGTGTTCAGAGCACAGTGTCAATGTAACAAGACAGGTGGTCTTTATCGACAGGATATGTGACCTGTACAGACAGGTTGAATACTATTTATAGAAAGTTAGTATGTGTAGTTATAGAGAGTTGGTTTCGCTGTAGTTATGGACAAGTAGCAGATTCGTGTATCATATGACAGCCATGATATATAGTATTATAAAGCCATAACATAAATTTTCTTTATGATTCAGGTGTAATAAAGCCTCCTGCGTTGCTTATTGGTTAGTTTCGTATGAATTGTATCCATACGCGTAGGGGACGACCTACTCCTTCTTACTACAAATCGTATACATGACGACCGGGTTAGAAACCGTTATAACTAAAATATTCCTTCTAACCGACCGAAAAATGACAGCCGTGTGAAGGCGCTAAATACAGGAATATATCATAGATCCTCTCAAACACACGTGTAACACAGGTCAATTAGCTGAAACTATCGTCTACAAACAGGTCTCAATCCAAAACACTGCCAACAAATCTGCTCCGAACGTCGTCTTTCGTTTTTATTTGAACAGTTTGTTCGGTGGAAACATTCTTGGTGGATTATTAAATATCACCATTAACTCGCACGAGGACACGGATACATCAGCAGAGGTTAAAATACCCCGCCAACTGTTTGTGTATATCACCGACAGCGGGTGAACTACAAGTCTACATTTTCGCGACAAGTGACGTCACTCTAGACGTTACAACATATGACGAGGTGATATTATACATTCGGAGAATCCACTTTACGTGTTGGAGGTAGTTTTGATTGTAATTTGAGACAGGAGGTATATATTCTAAAATGATTACTTGAAATACTAAGGAAGGCTTGACTGTGGTTATAGACAGATTATCGCTAAGGCAGATTGGACAAGCTATACACAGATGGTCTCTCGGGTAAATTTGACTAGCTATGCAGGCCTAACTAGATATTCCGTCTTTGCGTATTGCAGAGTTATCTTCTCTTGTGAGCAGGTATTGATTGTTACGTCATTTGTTTGTGAGAGTAACGTCATCAATTTTTGAGAAAACGACGTAATTTTCTTACACAAACCAATGACGTAACAATCAATACCTGCGCACAAGAGAAGATAACTCTGCAATACGCAAAGACGGAATAGACACAAGATACCTCGGGATTGTTTGACAGTAGTTACCGGTACAGAGATGTGGTAAATGTAGCTAAATATATGTGGTGTTTAAGTCGGGTTTAATCGTATTCGTCTAAGGGTTACTATCATCTATATATTATGTGGTATACCTCCAATTAAATTCACATGCAAATGAAACTTGATTTTAATCAGAAACAGGTCTCAGTCAAATGCAAAAGAAAAGAATATATGTTATATGTTTTCGCACTTTAAACAATAGGTAAAATAATTAATTCATACCTGATTTTCCCAATCACAGTAGATTAAATTATGCTACAAATATGACCAGTTGTTGACATTTTGATATATCTCTAACACCAAATCTGCATTAAGGACAAACAAAGGCCACCTCAATTAAAATTGGAATTTGACTATTAAATACGCTATGAAGGTAGCAAATACGATAAAGTAAAATAATAGGACGTAACTTATTTTTAAATGTTCTTAAAAGATAAACTTATTAACATTCTAAGAACATCAAAGCAACTTTAATGTCCACACTTTTACATTGAGTCCCTAAGAAATATTCAATAGATTTTTGGATCAGATAATTTTGGATAACAGCTAAAATACAACACTATCGTATAAAAACAAACACAAAGTAAGAAATTTTACAATATTCACAAATGAAATTTAAACTGAATGAAGACTTAGGTAATGATTTTTTGAAAGTGAATGACATGTAAAAGACATTATTGATTTGTATCGTTACGTGATGTTTCGTTTATATAAGTGTTCGAAAAGCCCGTAAATAGTTCCTAATCTTCCCATGTTCTATGGTATAGAATATTAGGGAAAACACCCACCCTCTCTTTTTGCAATAAATTTACGTGATTGATTTGATGACCTTTGACCTTTAAACTAACCTGCACGTTTATTACTAAGGGTATCCACGCGAACATAACCATATGAAGTAGTAACTTGTTATCGACACGCCTGAATGTCAGGACGCTCTGGTATAAAACCCACAGCTTACGGGTGCAGCTTACACTGACGACGATAACAGGAATTCAGCACCGTCTTCAAGTGACAACGCCATTGGAGTTGCAGTATCAACTATCAAATATCAGTGTAAGTAACTATTTCCTTTTTTTCTTCAGAAAACCACAGGTTATAGATAGATGGACAGATAATGTTCTAAAAATGATCGCAAACAACACGGAATATTTGATTTAATCCATTTTTTAATTATTTTTTTCTTGTTGACAGTATTTTGCCTTTTTGTTTATTATTTTGCATGGATGTGTTCTGAAGTAGGAGCTTATATATCCTGAGAAGAATGCTTTGACAAAATTTTAGTCTAGAGTAAATGATGTGTTATAATAAACAACAAATATAATAAAGCATAATTAACAAGGTTATTATAATTTTTGAGGCATCCAAATAAATAAAAGATAGGGCAACTATATTAACTTGAGATCATCCTCGTACATGCAAACGGCAGCAGGTGTCAATCGTTGTAAGAAAAAAAGACAACCCGTTGCACAGGTTTCAATTTACAAATTTGTTTATTGCAGATGAACCTGCACGTATTTGCTGTCGTATTGGCTTTGGCCCTGTTAACAATTCTTTCTGAAGGTAAATTTACATAACTTCACTGAAAATTACGTTATGCTATCGATAGTGACAGTAAATCTAATGTTTCTAGATTCAAGGAATTATTCCAACATGGATTCACATAACATTTTGATTTAAAACGTTACAGATAGATAATATTAATTGTTATAGATTCAAGATAAATTAGTATATAATCATCATAAGTCACACCAATATTGACAGAACTATATTTTACACGTACTTTTTACCCAGTTCGTACCCAGTTCTTGTAGTATGTTATCGTCATTTTACTACCAATAGGACACTCCTGGTGTCATAACGGACTCATCAGCTGACTTTGTCTATGTAGGTTAACATGTGAAGGTCGACGTGGTGCAGGTCCCTCGAATGCACAAGACATGTGTTTATCAGTTAAGGATGTTTTAATTTCTTCTCAATATTTAATTTCTCGGGCGCAATGAAACTGTCAAATGATGTCAGTTTATGTATCTGTGAAAATAACCAGACAAGCATTCCCTGAACGTGTGGGTTTCGCTTCTACAATAATTTATCACCGTTTACCCAGTATAAATACGCCGTAACAGTAGACAGATTTTGTTTGATTTCGTCTTATTTTTGTGTCCTTGTAACAGACAAGGAAATTCAAATACTTCTCTTTATGTGTGTAATGGGTGCGTGTGTGTGTGTGGATGTAGCAATATATTGGTGCATCTGCCTCCTTGAAATAGCGTTGATATGATGCCGGCTTTAGAGTGAAACCCCCCTGAAATTCACAACCACTTCTGATAACCATAAATTCTGAGCATTTGCAAGGAATAGCAACTAGCATTGTTATATCCAGGCACGAGTACAGAACCCATTGCCATTCTACTTGAACAAATATTGAAAGGCAAAAAGTACGGCATTACCACGCAAGGTGCTAGGAAACGAAAAGGCTGTAACAAAATATATAGATATCACGTGTCATAGACGATGCAGCAGATTTAGTTTGGCTACTTTTGTGTCCGAAGTGGAGGAGCAAAAATCAAATACCAAATTATGCGGGGTGATTCAACATTAATTGTCTCTTACAACCTGCATTCACATCAGCAGCCAATCTGAATTCAGAGTTCTTAATTCGGTCAAAATTGGTCAATTAATGGCCAGTGTTTGGGCAAAAATGGGCTTATGTTTGTACTATTCAAACGTCTTATACCATGTAAGAAACATATTAGATGTGTAGTTGTTTTATGTTGACCATAATATATATGATTATGTAACATGAACGGTTATGATCGCGGTTTTCATCGTATTCTCAAGTTATATAACTGAAAATTACTAAACGTATATTCGTTACAATTACAACATTGATGAGTCTCCCGATCTATTGTGACAATTATGTTCCATGTAGCATTATCTCAAACATTCGCCGCTTGTTATGCAATCAGTTTTACTTTCTTCTGAACCTATTGTAAAAGATGTGAAGTAATGGTAGTCCTGAAAGTAACGATCGGAGTTCAAATGAAGCCATGATTTTTATCTGCTCTCATAATTTTGTTTCAGGTGAGAATTATATGGTAGCTGCTGCGGGAAATTCGACTACTTCTAAAAATAGTGTGGGATGCATACGTATGAGCGCTGAAGTCCTGGCTATTCTCTTTGCTGTCGGATATATGTTAGTAAAGATCCGGAACTAACAGGACTATCGATGTTGTGTTCCCGTGTAGGTCATCAGTGTGGAGGTAATGACAAGACAACTCTGAAGGAACGCACTGATGTATCTGAAACACAGACTAGTAGACTTTTTACTTGGTTTGATTCTGCATTCTAGTGACAGAGGTTGAACATCAATATAATGTATAGATTATAATACAAATAATTTGTTCTCAAATTGAACATAAATTTAATTGTCATTTGAAATAATTTGTGTTCTCAAATTTAACTTAAATTTAATTTATTTATAATAATAAAATTATAGCTATCATGCGTGTTACTTATTTATTGATTTGCTTAATCAATTTAGTTTTGATGTCTTCTCTTACATTCATGTGTAAACTGTATCTTTATTTAAGTCTACAGGGACTGTGTGCATTTAGTCATCCCATGTCTTTCTCAAGAAAAAAGGATCCCTGTCCCATTGCAGACAAAATACTAGACAATTTCACATTGGTTTTCAAAACAAAACAAAAAAGTAACCTCCATTTAAATATGTGTTGTATATAAGTGTAGCGGAACCATGTCCTAAACCTTCTACTGCCTAGGTAGCTAGATTCCAATGCCGGTCTGAATTCGTGGCATTTTTGCGTTACGAACATTTGCTAAGTTTATTTGTTCCTATATTTCCTTTTTATCTCTCATAAAAGTACAGCGAGGTATTGGTACTTTCTCAGAAAATATGTATTAAAGCTATTATCATACCGGTAAAAAATTCTTATTCATGTTTTTTTTGCATTGGTACAGGGATCCTTAATCGATAATGTGATCATGCGATTTAAAAAAAAACCACCAGTAGTCACATAAGGAAATACTACCAAAAATGAATTACTTTTACTCAAAACAAATGCACTATTTATTTGTTACTTTGTTTTATATTCTGCTAGGTTATGTTGACGACGGAGTTATAAAGAACAAATGCGAGTAATATATTTCATGCAAAAACATATGATAAATTGAAATAAATGAAATATATATTGCATAAAGCAAGTCACGTAATCTTACATTTTTTATGCTGTTCCTAATCTCTCGAGGTTCTATGGTATAGAATGTTAGGAGAAAACACCTCCTTTTTTGTAATAGATTTACGTTTTTGGAGTTATCTATTTCATGCAAAAACATTAACGTCCCGGTTTGAGTGAAATAACAAATACATAATTTCGTTACATCGTGTTACAGGTAAACAATACACATTTCTCACGCAGTCATAGCTTGACATAAAGGGACCAGTATTTACATTGTTTGCGTATGATATAAAACTTTGATTTCCCGTTTGGGTGTTTAACCATTTTCCTAAAAAAAATATGACAGGATTGTTTTTATCAACAAAGCGCAACAATTACACCTATGTCCAAAGAGCTCATTACATGACATGTTTCTTTTATAAGACAAAAATGTCTTAAACAATGTACTTTAGTATTACGATTGGAAACAAAATCACTACAATAGCGTAAATATATAATGACAGCGCTAAACACTCGTACATAGGAATCTTAATAAAACAGATAAATTATTTCCAAGTTTTTGTCTGGCATTATTTTTAAACTGTTCAGGTATGGGACTCATCCACTATCTTTTGGAAGATCCTTCTATGTTTCCTCCCCGAAGTACGAAATTGTTATTTATTCTTATTATTTTTGATATGAAGAAAAACAAATATCAAGAACGAAGTAATTACATTATAATTCTAATACATCAATATTTGCCTGCGGATACCAGTTAATTCGATAATATTTCCCACATATTCAGCAACCCTAGGACCTTATCGCAATTACCAGTAATTGGCTTACATACCCCATATTTAGGAGAAGACTTATATACGCTAAGCCTGTTGTCTCATTCAATTGTTTATTTTTTTTGTCCAATAAAATTAGTTGAAATCTAAATATCCCATCTCCTTTTGTCTCTTAAAAAGCTTAGATAACATTGCTATCATAAATTCATAGAGTCTGTCTGATTAATAGCGCTTGACATCATTAAATCTAATGGGTTTGTTTAGACTGCGATTGAAATATTTGATTTTGTTTTTCATTTTATGATTGAAAAGTCATATCATGATAATAGCAGTATATAGTTGTCTTTTCACAATAACAGTTTATCTGTCACGACAGGAGATGTAGTGTACTTGCCTTTGGGTCTGGCAATATCGCTTTCTTCATAGAAACTTTATCAGCATAGAACAATATAGCTCCAGAATATAACAATAAAGTACATAGAGCATACAAAATTATTCTTGTATTTTTACCTTGCGAACCAAGAGAAAAGTTGCTGTGAAATCACTTGTTTTCGTGGGGTTTTATATTTCGCTAATTTCGTATTTAATCTTCATCCACGAATTCAAAGGCTATTACAGGTGTGACATAAATCTGTTCTTTCTATGAATAGGTTCTCATAATCCACGAATTCATGTACCAAAGAAATAGTGTTTTCTTGGGAAAACCATGTAATTTGCGGCCCCACGAAAATATCTTATTTCACAGTTTATGATATTTAAAATGCAGTCATGAAATTGGCAAGAAATTAGTGATCCGCCACATATTAGGTTCAACTCATTCACCCCTGAAGACGCATTTGAACTCATTCAATTCAAAGGCTGGAATAGTTCATTATGAAATTTCTGGGGTGAAGCAGATTTTTTTTTATTAGGACGCTATATTCACTTGATACTATTTTATTTTTTTAATAAAACTTAGTGTGTAGTGAATATACCACTTATTGCAACTTGATATTTTTCTATATTCGATTTGCAAAAACATAAATGTGTATTTTTTTCTTGAGTTTGCATGGATATAAAAACACATGGATTAGTATGGTAAAGCTGTCACGACACATTGTCATCTTCGAGATAGAACAACATGTTACAACATAGCAACAACACAATGGAGTAAAAACTCTGCTTTCTGTCAAGGTAAGATATGCTGCACTAATGTGTTTAAACTTGTATTTTGACCCACTACAATGGAGTGCATTGACGTGTGTATTTTAGGTGTGCACAGTCATATGACTCCCTTTGCGCTTAGTAATAATGCATTCCTATTTTATTGAGGTCACGAATTCTAGCACAAACATGTTTTTTTCTACATTCATACCTCAAACACGTCGGTACAATAAGCCCCCTAAAAGAGGGTATGATCACCCTAAATATGATACCATAGTATTTAGGTCATATCTAAACACGCAATCAAACATTAAAATCCATGTATGTGATTTATATATATTTTTATTGTACTTGTGTTATCAAACGGATACATGGTGAGATAGCTGAGTCTGTACTTAGATAATAACATAAACTTGATATATATCTTAATCAGAATAACTTTTTACATTTTACACGTCAGTGTCTTTTGTAACAAAACTAATTGATGCTATGAAAAGACAATTTATCTAAAGTTTTTTTATATACCTAGACCATAAGGAGATTAATTTTTCTTTTGCTAGCTGTGGAATTGTAGAATGGCCTTAAAATGAAGATAATTTCGTCATGAAAAAACATAGTGCAAATTTCATATATGTTCCAGAAGTTTGTGATTGAGAACCTGAATAACATTGATGATGAACTTTATTTAATGTGTCACTTTATCGCATTCAATGTTGTTAAAGCTATATCTATGTCTAGCCACGCTGATTTTGTACTCAGACTATTATTAGTAATTATTTGTGTGCATTTCATCTCTATTAATTTTCATGTAAGTCATGCTAGGCAAAATGCATTTCGAATGCATAGTTTCGTATTATCACAATGGAACGGGAATCCTTAAAGAGCGTTTTACGCTCTGTAACAAGGTACACTGTCACACAACACACTGAACAACACATGCGGACCTCTGGTTTTTATTACTTCTTAGTGTGGCCGCGACAGTCTCAAATACACTGAATTTCCGTTTAACATATTTCTGGAACACGACAGCAAATCTACCTGCAAACAGATTATATAGATTTACAACATCAAGCACATAGTTCTAAAGCACACAGAGTGCTGTACCCGGGCCATCAGGGGCCCTACTGGCCAAGGCCTTCCCTGGTCTTTCTCTCCAGAGGCTCACATTCCCAAACCTCGATTCCCCGTCTCCCAACTCTGGACTCTCGACTCCTAACTCTAAACTACCAGACTACCTATGAAATTCTCCCCAAGTACTTTTAACAATCTATACAAAATCAACTATTCATGAGTAGGTACAACCCATTGTACATAAGAAATGAAGCACGTGCAGCAATTTTAATCTAACTTCTAATCTAACTTTTAAGCTAACTTTCCCCCTCCAAAACAACAATACTAGATGTACCATATGGCAATGGCAGTTACCCCTGTCTGGTTTTGGGAGTTCACACTCTCTTTCCTATCTCTGTGTTATCCATGACTGACTTGGTCGCCATTAGAGTGATAGCCCGGTAGCATTATCTTCAATTCAACAGTCCCCCGTCAATTAATGCACGGTGTTACCAAAATCTACCTCAAATGTACTTTTGACAAAAGTGCTGCTCTCTATTGATACCCACTGTCCTGCATGATTTCCATTAGTTCCCATTCATGACCTTATTGTCAGCCCATTTTGTTACAACACATCAATTCTATTAATAACACAGGCACACTATTTCTAAGCAACCATTTCTCCCAACACATACAAATACGTATACCATGCACGTAAAAGGGGTAGATACATAAGTTTACACTAACGAGGCGTGCTTACTCATCATGATAAATACATTTTATGATTACAATAACCTTGGGATGCATGGGATGGGAGTCGGGTGGTAGTCATATTTCAAACATAATATGTTAAAGTACAATAAACTCAGGTTGAATTTGTTACCAAATCATGCCTAAATATTTTAGGGTATCACGATTGCTTCCCTAACATACAAAATGGAAGTGCAAGCGACATTCACGTATTGTTTTGTACACACAGTTACACTTTTAATTACATGAGTTGTTATTTGTTACAAAATATAGTGTTCAATAATATAAATAATAATAAAATAGCTTCTTGTTAATATTTTAAGGCTATGTGCAACATTACTTACTTATTATCTCCTCTACTAAAGAGTTCCGTACATATATCATGAACAAGGAAAACGTTTTATAAACGACAATAATACATATTTCTACCACAATACGCTGTGTTATTACACTCTCAGATCATTGTATAAACATGCAGATTGTTTAATAAATATGAATTATACACCACACGTGGTATTTGACCTTCCGTAGTTTTGATTGGTCGAGAAGATGAACCTTGACCGGACAACTTTTTTCACGCGCTCTTTGCCGCGTGCTGTTTTGTTTACGAAGTCTGCTGTCAACATCCGGCATAAGTTGGTGACTTTTGTGATGTTATGAGATGGGAAAAGGGGGTTTCCGACTGAGATTGTGATAGAAACCGATCACACGACTCATGGTTGTTGAGTATGGTATTTATATCACTCTCGTTAGTTAATTTTCAAAATTTACAGAAAGATACTCGCTAAAGCTCGTGTCTTTTGTAACTTTTGAAAATTAACTAACTCGAGTGACATAAATACCATATTCAACAACCACTCGTTGTGTAACCTCTATATAAATGATTCCATACATAGATGAACCTAAAATCATTTTTTTGGTCAATAAAGAAAACTTTGGCAAAGATACCAAGTATTCAGCATAATTTAGTATTATCCTTAAATTAAAGCGTGGCTGGTAGATTTTCACAAATAGGGAAAACAATGAAGGAGTTTGTTGATAAAATAGCAAAAGAAAATCGTTTTTCCTTTCATGTTGTCCCGATGTAGTACTCAGAAACGAAATTCCTCTAGTAGCAAAAACGCAACAAGCTGGAGAACCAATGACAACAGATGAATGCCCGCCATATTTGCCTCGTTTTCATCGTCCTCTGGCAAAGTTGCAAACATTCTGATAGGGCCTCCACTCCCGTCTTTGATTTTCATCAGGGCTACAAATATAGTTGATCCACTCTCTGGCAGTCGGTCAAGGTACGCTGCACTCTCTATACCAATGATATTTTCCTTGCTGAGGAGAAGATGAACAGTGAATGCATCTGTTTGGCCGTAGTCGGTGGAGGGCGTGTCAACTCCGACGCAATACACCACACGACTTGATATAAGCCAATCAATTGCGTCCTCGTGCCAGCCGGGGAAGTGGTAGCTGGTTGCATCACTGATGTTGTTAGTTTTGAAAACAGCATTATAATCTGGATAGTACTTCTGCCATCCTGAGTTCATCAGGACAACAGCTCCGTACGGGATTCTGCCGTTACGTGTTTCCCAGGCCATGATGTCGTCTTTAGTGACTCTATAGTCACTGTTCGCCTCGGCCTTGGCTTTCACGTCGATTATGACACCGGGACCTACCAGTCTTTCTATGGGAATCTGGTGATTTTTCCATGGTCCTGTATCATATGCTATGTGAATAGGGGCGTCTGCATGAGTTCCTGTGTGTTCGGCAAGATCCATTCGGTTGTGCTCAAACCTGAAACAATTTTGTCACTTCAATTTTATTCGACAATTCAGTATCAATACAATTGCGTATGATATGTCTATAGTGCGATTTAACTTTATCAATAGAACTCTGAGCTGAAAGTTAGATTTGAAATTGTTTCGATTTTTCCCGAAACAAATTTCGCGCACGGATAAATACAGTGAACACCGTAAATCCGACCTTGCCCTCCACGAGGGAGTTATTCGAAGTTAAATGAGCAAAGAGAAAAGTTCGAATGTGTGAAGAATCCAGACGTGAATTTATTTGCTGATTGTATGGGAATCTGACTACAATCGGTAGATTCTTTAACGGCCTCGTCCTTTGACATGTCGTCAGAAACTGCGGAAACCGTGGCTGTGAGACGCGGGAAACTGATAGCGTTTGAATTTAGTGATCTTGCGACGGAGTACAGGGGTTCGTTACAAATGTCTGAAATGTTAATGTGTGCTGTGATTTATATCACTAGGTCTGTAACACATCTGTCAGTAGGTCTATATACTATGTGTATTTCAGACATTTGTAACGAACCCCTGTTGATCAGTGCAGTGTAACAGACGATATTTTTGATAAATTGCATGTGTGTTAAAATTGTTTCCATTTCCGGCAATGGTGATTTCAACCGATGTGCATTTTGTACGATATTGCAGACCTTAGTCTCGTTTTTGTTGTAATAAAAGATTTTGTTTTTATATTTTCTTTTTCTTTTGCACATACATTTACAATTACATTGTCAAGTCTCACAATGCCTAGCGATATTTCAACAGCCGTCGTGTTTATTTACATTGGTCATTGTAGTTCCGGTCGGTGTTGTATTAATACGCTAAGAATTGTGTCTCGTGATGCATGGTAATCAAAGTCCAATCAACGACACAGCTTTCAAAGAGGCTACATAGTGACAATGCCATGCAAATGAAAATATTGTAGTTTATCATACTTACGAATTTGATTTATGGTTTCATTCTCACTTTGGTATTCCTTTTGTCTCAACGTTTATTCTATATTGCTTTCTATAAAAGATATTTCCTCATGATTTGCTAATTTTCCTTTTTTTCCCAGCGAAAATTCAATCTAACATGCCGCTACCCTTATTTGTGCAATTTTGACAATTTTTCAATTACATTTTAAATTTTAATATTTACTGTTACACGCACGTCAAAGTACTACTAATCAATTATGTAATTTCGTTGAGGTGACTATGTGGTTATATAACCCTGAAAAAGTGATATTGACCGAGACGAAGTCCTTAATTGTTATTTTAGATGCTAAATAATGTCATCAGACAAGATGGACCCCATATCAATAGTACGGAGAAAATACGTCATTATTCAGAAAGCATTGCGACGTTGAAATGAGGTCATGAATCGAACATTAACCTAATGTGTCTTAGTCGAGTCAATAAGACAAATCACCGAGCACCATGTGATTATGATACAACCAATGTGCGTCATCTAACTTTATGTCCCAAACAACTTATTTTGAAATTAATGCATAACAGTCTTTGAAAAGGTATTGAGAAGGGATTTTAAATACTACAGTCAAGCCTGCTCTAGAAAAAAATCATTGTAAAAAGAAACTGAATTTAAAATTCACATTGTAGCACTGAGTTCACTGACGGTTCAATCATACCAGCAAGTAAAGTATAATTATTGTTGAACAATAAGGGGAAGGAATTCCTTAAACTTCATTATCAATTTATTTACACGTTAAATTTGCCTTTTACTTAAGGTTCACCTTGATGTGAACAGTGTATCCTGTTAACATCTGGCGTACTATTACACGATCAAATAATGCAGACACCCATCTAGCTTTATAATCGGGGACAGATTATCAAGGTAAACGATCAGAGTGTGAGCCTCAAAGATCCTAGTCACACCGCTCTGTGATTTTTTCGATAAACAATAAAGTAACGTCCCCATAATTTTATGTTTAATGTCCTGCTTATGTCCCGTTATGACGCCATCTTTTGCAGGTTGTGAACCAGAAATGGCTAGTCAATCTGTGACAGTAACTGTTAAATACATATCCCCAACCGTTTTAAGTCCTCATCGCAGTTTTAGCATCCTCTATATCCAGGGGTACGCTCACTTTCGTTCTCTACACCCCTGGAATATGTCATAGCAAAATTGAAGGCCACTGTGCAGCACCATGTGGATGAGATAAAAAGACTAGTTTGGTCCTTTGATGTACATCAAAAGAATCTCGCGGTCGTGTAACGGTAAAAGATGACAGGCTTTGAAGTCGGGCGTCGCTCTTTTGTAATCTTCAAAGGACAAGTATCAGTCTAGTGATTGGTCGTTGTTTTTTTACCTGACACCAATCAAATAGCTAGCCGCGTGCCTTTATTTTTGCTATGACATATTCCAGGAGTTTAGAGGGCGAAAGTGAGCGTAACCCCTGGATATCGAGGATGCAGTTTTAGGGAAATATCTGACAATAATTCACTTGACGATTTTGATATCGATGGCTTTATATCATCAAGTAAACAAAAATACCAAGATGAAACGGACGGTGTCGTAAGGAAAGTATAAGATTTCTAACAAAATGTTCTCAGAGAAAAACAACCGATTGAAACAATAACCCCGTACATTTAAATTAGTTACTCTGTTTCTTTTTCATGAATGTATGAAAACAGAAAGGTTACGAATATGAACCTGCATTTACTAGAAATGTCGCATTCAGCGTATATCGGTATTTGAAAACAAACAGACTACGCCAAACAGATAGCCATGAGTTCCGAGTTTTCAAAAGTAATGGAGGTGCTCCGTTTAAAACCCTAACCCTAAAACGTTAAAACGTGAGAGTTAAGGCAATCGAGATATGATAGCCGATTGTTAAGGCACGATTTCTTAACTCGACACGATTTCTCACCCGGGTGAGAAATCGTGCTAAAATTGCTGAGTTCGCAATACGATTTCTCACCTCTGTACGATTTCTCACCCGGGTGAGAAATCGTGTTATGAGTAGAGATATTGCCCGTTGCTACAAATCCTGAACGACTCAGTAGATTTGGACTAAATTCGGCCTGAATCATCCTTTGACCAAGGGGTCTTAAATTTGTATAAACGGTGAGAATGGCCGCCCTGGGGGCAGAGAAGCGGGCCCAATAGGGGCAATAGAGGTAAACCTTTGAAATCCTTCGTTTATCGTAGGGATAAAGTGATTTGATCCTTATGTAGTCTGGATCATCCTTGGGCCAAGCGGACTCAATTTTGTATAAACGTTGTTAGTGCCCTCCTGGGGACAGAGGGGTGGGGCCCCATAGGGGAAATAGAGGTAAACCTTTAAAATTCTTCTACTACTATATGGATATAGGGATTTCGTCCGAATTTAGTTTATAGCATCCTTGATCCAAGAGGACTCGATCTTGTTAAAATGGTGGGTTTGGACTCCCTGGATGGAGAGGGGCGGGCCCCAATAGGGACAATAGAAGTAAAACCTTTAAAACACTGCATCTACCGTAGGGATACAGTTTTTTTTATCCTAATTTAGTCTTGGGCATCCTTGTGCAAAAAAGGACTTGATCTTGTATAAACGGTGTGTGTGGCCCCTTTGGGTGCGAAGGGACGGGGCTCAAAAGGGAAACTGAGGTTTAAATATTTTAAAAAAAAAAACTTCTCCTTATGTACCATTTGAGGGATATTATCCGAATTTGGCCTTGGGCAAAGGGATCATCATTTTGTATAAGTTATGGGTTGGCCCCTTTGGATGCAGAGTTGCGGTGCTCAAAAGGGCAATTTGAGGTTTAAATCTTTAAAACACTTCTTCTTCTGTACCATTGGAGGGATTGTTTGTAATAAGAATAATTTCCCATTGTTGCTTTATTATCCAGGTGAGCGATAAGGGCTCTGGGCCTCTTGTTATAGTTTGTCTCAACTCCTTTGACTTACAATGGTTACAGATTTAATGTATAAACAGAGACATATAAAGCCAGTAGTATATACGTCTTTGGTATAAGCATGCGTGGTTGTACAGAGGGATACAAGTATCATAGTAATAGTGGTGTACTGCAGTTACATATAATAAACGTAGTCTTTATTGATATTCGATGTTAAGTTTCCGAACAGATTTAAATCATGGCCTATCATTTCAGGCTATACATGTAACAATTTCTGTTCTGATTAATGGACCACACTTAAAGTTGTTTAATTGAAGATTTTAATCTTGTTCTTTGAGATTGGGAAAAAGGCCAACATCTTCCGCAAAATGGATGCTGCAGACTAATCGAAATTTATGCATTTTCTAATATCCCTATGTAAAATTGTGCAGTGTCACTACGAACACTACTGCGATCTGCGTTGAATTTTTTTTATTTGACAAAATGTCCGTGTTTGGTCGGGTCCTGATTGGTAGACATTTAGATATTGACCAATGCTAAAGATTTGGTATATAGATGTATCAACTATGTAGGGCTGTCAACGGTTAGCTCCTTTTGGGAGCCCCATGTTTCCCTCGCTTAGACCTACAAACTATCTGCATTTGTAAAGATGCAACCAAAATTGGATAGTTTTGTAATAAAAATAGTGTTCAGGGATTACATGTTATTGTTAACTTTTTTCTCTTCATTACATACTGACAAAGAGATGTCGCCAACACCATAAAAAATCAGAACAAATTTTAAAAGAAAGCCAGAATACAACGTTGTGAAATATCTGAGATAGAACGCGCCTTTTCATACGAGATGAACAGATAATCTGAAGAGTACACACTTGAATGAGCAAGCATGTCTTAAAACGTTTGTCAAGTAAATGTTTTTCTGAAGATATGATTTCGAGTACAGATAACTGTAATTGAATCCGTCTTACTGCATTCCGACATTCGTTGTCCATCAAATATACTTACTGAGATTACATACAACTTTTTCCTGTGTTTATCTTGAAATACACAAGTAAACTATCATGTTTAATAATATATACATGTATGTTTGTGGTGTAAATACGTTTGAATAGAACATTGTCCAAAAATGTAATGTATTTGTTGCAGTATTTTATTTAACTACCAAAATGACCGATTGACCGGTCACTCGATCGGTAGATTGTTCGAGTAACCGGTTACAAAAATAAGACCGGTTTGACAACCCTAGTATTATGGCATTTCGATCATTTTCTGATGCAACGCTTGCGACTGCTGGGTTAGTATCGGCACCTTATAGTGATAACGGTTCCTGTTACGAGTACATATTGTTATGCTTTATAAAAATAAGGGAATGCATGTATCCTGCCAGAGCAATGATTTCACATCTGCTTTAGTAAGTTCATGTTGTGTAATTTCGTGTCCTTGGTTCCTTTGGCCAAAGAAAGGTGTCCTTTGTTAGATATGAATTGCATATTATTTTATATACGGTATATCTCGCGCAAATTGTCTTTTGAAAACGTCTCTGTGATAAGGATATTTAGTGGAATGAAAAGTAAATGAATAATAGATAAATATATTAATACAGGTACTGCCATCAAAAGAAGTGGTAGCATTTGTGTTAATTCTCTAATAAAAATAATAAATAATATAAAACATTCATATTGCGCCCTATATAATTTATAAAATTACTCTAAAGCGCTTTACACCATATGGATAGTAGTATTATACATAATTAGTTATAATTGTGAAACAAAAAAATAAAGGCTTTCAATCACTTTTATTCATTAAGCATGCAGATAATCATCGCAATGAGCACGTAAATGAATAAATAAAGGGTGGTATTTACATGACGTCTTTGTAAAGAGCCTAAAATGCAGACATAAAGAGGTGATTTTTGATGTCTTTTTTGAGTTTGGTCAGGGTATTTGACTTTCTAATAGCAGATGATAAGCTATTCCACAACGTGGCCGAAATCCCCCCAAAGCACCGGTTTCCATAGGTCACAGTACGAGATTTTGGGACACACAACAATGATTCTGACTCCGACCGCAGTGATCGTCACGGCTAATACAGGGTAACAAGTTCCTGTAGGTATGGGGAGCTGTTCCAGTCAGTGCTTTGGATGTGTACACCAACATTTTGTACTGCGACCGGTATCGTACAGGTAACCAGTGCAATGAATATAGCACAAGTGTGATGTGCTCTCCCCTTCGCATACGAGTAACCAGCCGTACTGCAGGGTTCTGTACCCTCTAAGGTGACTAGTTAGTTTGTCAGATATACCACAGAGCAGGGCGTTACCATAATCCAACCAAGAGGTAACAGTAACAGGTGAATACACCAACATATTGCATGCATCTGCAGTTCTAAACTGCCGGATATGTTCCTGATCTAGTATTAACAGGATGTGGCAATAGCGTTCACTTGTTTCTCCATGTTCAGTAAACTATCAAAGTACACCTCTATGTTTTTATCAGCTAGGACAGTCTCAATAGTTCTGGCACCGACCTTGAGCTGGAGAGCCACTGTTTGCTGACACTTTGGGGAAAAGACGATTAGTTCCGTCTTTTCCTGATTAAGCTTTAGCATGTTGGCGTTCATCCAGGTACTGATATCTGTCAAACAAGATTTCAGATTTTCTGTAATTGTATCCCAGAGTCCTGTGGTTTGATGACCATGTAAATGTGTGTGTCATCGGCATAGCAATGATAGCGAAGGCTTTGGCGACGACAAATCTCTCCGATTGGATTGGAGTACAGGCAATATTTTCGTGGTTACCCGAAATCTAGTACTTTCATGTGAGGTGTTAGATCCGATGGAAACACACTGGTGTCGTTAACTCAGGTAAGACTGTTTCCAGCATAGTGCGGTATCAGTCACTCCATAAGAGTACTCCAGACGTTTATAAAATATGCCAGGTCGATGACGTCAAATACAGCTGACAAATTCAGCATGATAAGCTCCCCTCTGCACTTGTTATCCAATGCAGAAGATTTGTCATTATGTACACGTAGGAGGTTCGTCTCACTAGAGCCCCATGCGGTAGGCCAATTGCAGGTTGTCATTGAGACTGTTTGCATAGAGAACCTCTAAATGCCGGGGCACAACCTTCTCGAAGATTTTAGACAGAAAAGGCAGATTTGATACTGGGCGTTAGTTCTTCAACCCCTCCTCGTCCATTCCAGGCTTCTTTAACAATGGTCTATCATGTGCCTTCTTGAAACACAATGGAACCTTTGACTCAGCCAATGATTTGTTTATGATTGAGGTAATCAAAGGAAACAGTGATTCAAGACATTGATTGAATAGGTCTGTAGGCAGTGCGAGGTCATGATGGTATTGCGCAACTCGTCTAGGGTTCTTGGTGAGAGCTTTGTCAATGGTTCCCCATCAAATTTAATGTCAGCAGTCATGACAGAGATATCATTGTCAGAAGTAGAGTTCACTTCCGATAAATGTTTCCTGATCGAGGTGATTTTATTCAGAAAGTAATCTTTTTCAGAATAACAGCTTGGTAGGATAATTTCACCTTTCAGACCCTTTGGTTTTTGGTGAGTCTAAAAAGCTGCCTATGATCCCTACCACATTCTTCAAGTCTTTCGAAATAATAAACATTCTTCGACTGAATGAGAAGTAAACCAACTAGTCGACATTGTTCCCTATAAATCTGTTGTTGAACGGTAAATTTGGTCCTTCGCCGCTGCCTCTCTGCTTTTCTACGGTTCTGTTTTTCTACGCGGAGATTTTCCTTATACTACGTGGCATTCGGGCACCGAGCGACAGTTTAAGAACACTAAATTCAGAAGAATAAATGACTTACATTGAGCAGCTGTTGTTGGCTTGATAACATGTAGATTCTCGTTCGATAGTAATGATGTCGGTGAACCGGATTGCGTTTGAATTTGTTTAAGAAGGCGCGCGCAGGTGCATTGTATGCATCGGGCAACAGTATATATTTTTTTCATCGTCTAATTGAGTGTGTGAATTTTGTTTAAGACTTCTGTTGTGTATTTCAAAAGTGAATGAATAAATGATAGATTTATAAACTTCGGTGTAATAAGCAATTGGCGGCCTCGTTTCCAGATAAATGAGTGACGGTCATTAATAAATCATTTTTATGTTATAGCTCTAACGGGCCACCGTAAATGTCTACCGGTTTGTCGCCTCACTGAATCTATGTGAACAAAATACATATGGTGTGATTAAAAATAAGGTTCACTTTATCATAACAAAGAGTATCGGATTTTGTTTGCATTTGATTTGCAGCTAAAGCATTCCAGTATATAATTTCTTTTAAAACATATTCACTGGAGTTTAGAAAGCTGGTGACCTTCAACAAGGTGACAGACATTACGACAGATATCAATTACATAATATTATGTAAAACGCGTTTAGCTTTCCGCAACACCTATCACAGTGTCAATTATTTCTAAACACTGGTTTGTTTATACGTCCCTTCTCGGATCCTGTTGCGGTCTTTTTATTTAGTTTCAAGTTACTTTGTGTTATTGTATATCAAATATTTTTCTCACCTGCCTCGCAGTGTCTGTAATGCTATGCTATGGTATCTTACGTCAGTAGTCTATCAACTATTTTTATGTAACACCTGTGCCAAGTAGTTTTCATATTTGACCAGCATATACCTTGAACGGTTGCGGAACACTTGACTAACTCTGAAGGTAACTGCATGTGGTCTTACATGTTAAACGTTTCAAACAACATTATAATATAACAAAAACCCTTGCATATGTTATAAAGACCAGAAGTGCATATATTTATATGGACAAAACCTTGAAAATTTAGTTCAATAGTCATAACATAGAAACAAGTAGTCATAAAATGTAATTTTATATGTTTTAGGGGTTTAGATAAACTTTTGTTAAAAAGCAATACATTATATAATGATATATGAATAAATAGATTAATAGACAAATCAATCAATACATATAAGGCATTTTGTACATTGATCTATTACTCATTTGAAATCATGTCAACTCATATATTACATGTATACTAAGGCAAGTTTTAAGACCCCACGTTAAAAATCCATCTCCAATTGTGATAGAGAGTTGGGGTGAGAAATCGTGCCGGGTGAGAAAACGTGTCACCTATGTCCATATGTTTTGCACGATTTCTCACTCGGGAGAGAAATCGTGCAAGGGTGAGAAATTGTGGTACGACAGCAACACTTTCAGCACGATGTCTCAGCCGGGTGATAAATCGTGTCTGGGTGATAAATCGTGCCGTAACAGAATACCTACTCTATCGACTTCAATGCTTATTTAACAATAAAAAAATAAGTCAGATGTAAAATAACATTTCGGAATAAAGCTAATTCTAAGAGAGTTTCTATTAATTTCGACTCTAAGATTACCTAAAACAGAACTGTATTATTGAAAACATTTGCCAAAAAAATATCAATATTCGACAGATTAGTTCTAGAACTAATGAGTAACTTACCATATATTGGAATAGACACCTTTAAACAAGAACGACATGTTAAATCTGGGATTGGACGGCCATGTTATAGCCCTGCTGTCGAGTTCATGGGTCAAATCCACCATTTTCAGGCTGACAGAACCACGAAGAAAAAGACATAATACGGCAACTGACGTAAAACTCTGCATCCTGGTTTTTTAAATTTTGTTAAAAAGTGTTTGACACGGTTGTACCGACAAGAAGGTTGCGTCGACCCTGTTTACGCGCGTGACTTTTTTACCAGTCTCGGTAACTGCAAACTCGATATCTGCTTTACCATTGGATAATAATCGTATACGAAGTTTTTTCTCTCCAAACAATATCGCTTTAGTTTCATCCATCAACTGTCTGAGATCACGCGTCTTGCATTTCTATAGAAACAGTATCTGAGTTTCAGATTCATTGTTGTCGAACTGGTTTTGTTTTTGTTAAAGTAATGTGATTCACGCTGTACGCTGCAAGTTATTTTTAGCAATCTATTTACATATGAAGCGTCAAATATTTACTGGTGCTATATTTAGATAAATTAAGACTTTCTAAGACGCTACGTATACGTTTAAGTATACACTTCATACAATCAAGGCATTTTCTAAAGAATCCGCAATAGTTGCCTTATGAGGCAGTAGGTACAAATCGTATGCCAACTGGCAAATTTCTCCACAAGTGTGTATGCACGATTGAGATGGAAATATGTTCGGTTCTCTTTTGCGGAAGAAACCTGCTACAAACAGCATCTTTCTGTATTAGTGTCACCATGCTTGAATACTACAGCACTTACCATGAAACACACACCGGGGCATTTGTTTTACTTCACATGGGTTGTAAGATTTGCGTCAAGGAGAAATATAATTTTCTCTTATTAGTCCATTCAACGACGACTCGAACGAGAATCGAACCCCGGCCGTCTGCGTAGATAGCCATTGAGTTTTCCACTTGGCTAAATCCGCCCATGAATAAATTAAAAAATCTTGAAAACAAACGCAAAAAAGTTTGTCTCGTTTCAGCTAAAGCATCTGCAACAAATACAATAAATACGATATTGACTCTTAATTCAGTTATTCACATGGAGATGGATATGCACCTTGCATAACGGAATAGGTAGAAAACAGACAAGAATACTAACAATGGCTTCTGTATTCAATAACATGCGATCGGCTATGATTTCATTGTGAATAAAAATGCACATAAGACGTAGAGCTACGCTTTGTAAGGGAACTAGTTTAGGAAGAGTATCATTTGACTACGACTTTTAAACTAACCAAATACTTAATGACTTTCCTTGGCGACAGATGTTACAATCATGAACGGCCTAAATTTTGACCAAGCTGGTCTTCTTTCAGAAGGCAAATGAGGGCTTGATTAAAGCCCTGGTTACAAGGAATTGTATCCATCAAATTGTCTAAAAAACTGTTGAAACAGAGGGGCAGGTTCGTGAAACCCCTTAATTATGAATAAAAATATTTCGAGGAGTACTGGTAAATTTCAAATTTAATCATCTGAAAAGTGTGTATTTTATGAACCGTATCACTTCTCAAAAGAGATAACTGTCGCTACCAAAGTTACAGCAGATCTAGGGACTAAATAATCTACTAGCAAAGTAAACCACCTTGTATTTTGAGAGACGAACTTAACACACACACACATGTTTGCATCGGTATAATTTGGTGATACATGTGGAGTTTGACATAAACATATGTGAAACAGACTATATTAGGTGTATGCATTCTGATAGGGACTATAGCGACAGCCTCGTTTTGGGTTGGACATTCTCCAAGATGGCTCCCATGTGACTACATGTGCAATGTGTATGTCTACAAATGTAATACAGTTGTCATACAATGCCTGGGTTCGAGTCGTTTGTGCAACTACATAACAATGCATGCAGTAGAGAAACAATGAATAACCGAGCGGCCACAAATATGGACATTCGAATAGTCTAAACTACCATTGAAAGAAAGGCGTTTGTATGTAAAACCACTTAATTATGAATTAGAAAAAATTTGAGGAGTACACGTTAATTTCAAATTAAATAATCTGTTAAATGTGTATAGAATTATCATGAGTTAGAATGTATCGGTGTCGGTATTTAATTTTAATTGTTTTCCTGTTTACCATTTGCCAGTGAATATGAAAAAGTCATCCCGAAGTATTATAGGAAAGTTGGACGTTGAGTTATGTGTCAAAATCTATAATGTACAATGCCACAGTTATTTTAATTTACATAATGAACGGAACAATGAAAACGAGACCACCAGGAACATCGTGAATTTGTAACAAACACTCTAATTTCATATGTGCCTCTCTTATTATAAAATGCACAAAATACTTAAGTTTATGCACATTTAAAAATAAATTGAAAATTAGACTCAGTGGATCATTAGCTAAAAAGCCTAATATAGCAGCGCCCTGGTCGAAGTACAAAATGACAAACCATGCGCAACAGACTAAGTTACATTAATGTAAACATGACTAGTTAATTGTTATGTGAAAAATGCAATTGATTACATAGATCTGTGACAAAAACACAACGAGGAATATATAACAATCATAAAGCCAATATTTTGGTCATATTAATGGGTTACCGTTGTCAATAACGAGGTCGAGTTTTGTATAGGCAAAGATATATAACTCTTGTAAAATAGACACGTTATTTTGTACTAAGCCGTAAAACATAAGGTAAAAGTCAAAATCGACATTTATTGAAACAGAACACAATATGAGAAGACNAAAAAAAAAAAAAAAAAAAAAAAAAAAAAAAAAAAAAAACCCACATAAAATCAATCCCTAGGGTAAACCTACTGTTTAATACAAGTATAAGTACATACCCTAAACCAAATCACTGTAATGGTGTGCACTTATAAAATACTGACATATTTATATGTACAAGTTACAATACAATAATTGCATACATAAAATACCATTCTAAAAATACATATCTTAAATTATCACATAAATTATCTCTATCTGGGGATAATAGTGTAGTTTTTTCCCAGTGAAATGCAAGGTTTTTCCTTGAAAAATAAAAATAAATCTTTTTCTACTGTCACAAATAACACTATTTTTGTTTTGTTTTTTGTTTTTGTTTTTTTGTTTTGTTTTTTTTTATTTTATTTTCCCACACACTAATTCTACAAATCAGAGAACAGGGTCTAGTGTAAAGAAAGCGTTGTCAATTGTAATGTTACAATAGCCCTGGAGTTTTCTTATTGCGAAATATGTGCAATTTGATCCGAATGTTTTGGACATACACCTGTATCTATATGGGATGACGCTCCAGAGAAAAGGCAATTTTGTGCATCAATTTGTTGTTTCATTAAAGTGTGCTTAGAAAATATGTTTGAACAATTTATTTTGATTCGTTATTTCAGGGAAATTTTCGGTGCTGTTTATTATTTTGCCTTTTTCGCCCTCCATAATGAAGGCGAATTTATCATTACAGCGAAAATGAGTAAACAACATAATATACACAGAAATTAAATGTGAACGGGCGAAATAAACATTGGGCGAAATTTTATTTCATGGGCGAAGGTTTGACTGAGTGAAAATTTACCGGTGTACAGTAAGGACCTGACCTATAAAACCAATTCTGCTATGGTCAGTAACTAATTCTCTCAAGCCAAGACACAAACGAGATGTGATACTAAGTATATAGCTAAGTGGAGCGAGGTGTAAACCTTTTTGTCCGAGATTGACGTAAAAATTCAGAGTGAGTCGAGCAAGGAAAACAGTGAACCCGCCGGACACAACGTGGAACCATGTATACTAATGATACCTACTTTCCTTCTTCTGCTATAAAGGATAGTGTTCACCCCTCAACACAGATCCTCTACATGTGAAAGGCTTACATCTGTCTTAAATGCTCAAAATCTTTCCTATTCCATTCAGAGGGAACTTTCAATACTACATCAGCCAACGAGAGAGACAACAGTTCGAAAGCATCGATAAAATTAAAGGCCAATCCCAGTTCAGTTCTCACAAATTTTCCGCTTTTTTTTTTTTTTTTTTTTAAATAATGACAGATTTGAATCAAATCACTTTCTCTAAAATGATTTCCAGCAAGAGATTATGCTACACTGGCCTTCGGTCTCAAGTATCGATCAGTGATCAACATTGCGAGCGTATTTGGTTCAATGTAAATTTGCCACTTCGTCTGTAGTTTTGTATGTGTTTTATTTGCTGTCAGCTACGCGGATAATTTTGGGAAACAAGCCCGGTCATATATTTCGTCATCAAGAAATGTAGATACTTTACAAAAGGGGAAAACACTAAGTTCCTCATAACTAAGTACATTCTTCATAAACTAATTTATGGCAAGACAGAAATTAGTTTATGAATCCGCAGTATAAACTCATGATGATATTCAAGTCTTTGGGTTTGCTGGGATTTCCTACTTTTTTCGGTTCTGAAAAATAACTCCAGGTCAAGGGAAACACAACATTTTGAAACTCTCTACCATCCACTTCTATACAACTGTATCTGGAATGTTGCCAACGAGAATAAGGAAACTGTCCATTCATACAAATGTCAGTATAATTACGCTATGACATAATCATTGCATAGCCATACAGACAAAGTTTACTGTCTACTTCGCTCCTTTACTGGATTTCTGCTCTACTTCTACTTAATGACTGTCTACAGCTTCGCGATACAACATCCTGCAGCATCAATATTGTTTACGCTCAGCGGGGATCTAATAGCTACAGGTCATTACCCTAACTTCTACAAAGTCCCAACTTTCGTATATGATTGGCTACCCCAGCGACTAGAGCGGTCACCTAGAGAGTGATATACAAGCGCTGAGTAAGTGGCATTTGCGATTTTGTAAGAGATGCTTCCGTATTCGAACTGTCTTTTTCATCCTGTTACCTGTCCGTTCTATCGGGTGCATGTCATCATCAGGGCAGTAATACATGACAACCCTAACAGACATGTCTATCCATTGTTGATTCCACTGCACAACACAGTTAATGGGAACATGAGGTGATGCACCTCTGCTCCAGTTATAATAAGTCAATTTATTTTGTTTTTCTGTTAATATCTTATCCTGTACTTTTATTATGGTATTTAACTTTATTTCATGACAATATTTTATTTGTTTTTAATGATGGCCAGGTTTAAAAGCGACAGTTTATTTCAGCGTTGCGTTACTTTTAATTTTTGGTATACTGTACATGTATCTATTGGCAAATTTTAAATTTGCAATCAGTGTATGTGTTATGTTAATCTTACAACATAAAAAGTGGTAGACTCAGCTGGTGGATTCTTTTTTAGTGCTGGCACGGCTCACCCTATACAAACCTTAATCGTGATGGAATTTTAAATTAACCAGTACTTCTCTACATTTTGAAATTCTTATAAGGAAGGCTTTTTATGCACCTTCCCCTCTATATTAACAGCTATTTAGGACATTTGGATTTCCAACTTTCAGTGAACCGTAGACAGTGTTGACAGACAGACATTTCGTTACACACACTTGTCTGATATACTCTCACTTACACCAGTCAAGCCAGTATTACCTTTACCTGGCGCTGAAAGTTCGCCCCTGTTAGGAAGGCTTTTGGTTCTGTCCCCTGGCCGAGACATATCAAAGTCTGTCAAAATGGTAGTTTCTACTCCTGCTGAATGCTCAATACTTTCGGAGTGGGACGACTGGTTCGCCCGTTGTCAGTATAATGTGATCAGGTGGGGTGTCCTGCTGGGTGTCTTCGGCAGTATGTTTCAGTGAAGTAGCAATACAAAGTCGGCATCAGTTCTGCGCTATCACAAGGAGACAAACACGAACATAACGCAGCCTCCAAAAACACACACGCATACACTATACGCATGCATCTTGCACACAGGGGAGGCCGTCCTTAAATTACCATAGCTGTTGATAAGACGTTAAACAATTCTAAACCAAACCAAACCAAACCAAACTTGTCGAAAAGATATAATGTGGTTATGATAAAAAGAAAATTACAATAACTACTGGTGCTGAGTGATATTGTAGTACAGTTGTGGCTTGCAGTCCTGAATGAATCTAGCGAGTATAAACAGCTTGGCATACATATCCAATTTCATACATATCTTTCACTGCATTTTATGAGTGCTTGTGGTTTTGAGAATGTTAAGTCTTAGATTCGTAGTTAGATTAACGTGTGTCCAAAAACGGCTTCGTTACACATTTTGACATGCAAGTAAGTAGTCAAATGACAATGTGATGACGATATAAAGCCCCGTTAACTTGCCTAACCGTATCTTCATTCAATATTTTTTATTACTAATAACTGATTATCACAGAAGGGTATGTGATGTATCTGTGTAATTTGCGTTTATAATACTCAGGTTTCGCCTTCTATTTCATATAGACTTAATTGTCACGTGTGCTATTTTGTTCTCATTTTTATGTAAACGATTTCACATTTACTGTCATATTGCTGTTAATGTACATGCATGTTAGTGTTCTGATGCATTCTCAACTTACATCTGTGAAATAATTTTTGTCTTACTTTGGTGAAAAGATTTTAAAATGCATTTTTGATATAATAAACAATAATTAAAATCACTGCTGACGCCGAGTAATTTTGTTGACAATTGTAACAGCTTGCAGACTAGACAGGAAACGTGCAACAATTCGCTTGACAAAAGCAATTGATAAAAAAGCTTAAAGCTATTAATTACACCGTTTCAGTCTCAATATTTTAAACTCTTTGAACTTTTATCGATCGAAATATGTATGTCAATGCTTTTGATACAGTACGTCCTGTGTAATTGCTTTAAGTATTGAAATATATTTAACACAACTGAGATGTATTTACCTCGTAACATTTGTCTGACTTGAGCGACGTGAGGTAAAGCGATTTTGACACGTATTTTGATAACAATTTGCCTACCACAATGATTCTTTTATATCCTTCTAACATCGCATTCTCCACAAACACTTAACGAGTTAAATGTATCTTTGATGTATTATACTCCCTTCAATATTATGTCTTATGTTAACAAATATTTAAAACTTAATACGTTTCGAGATTTATCAAATAAAAAATATAGCTATTTTAGATTTAGAAAGATATATCATATGAATGAATAACTAAAATAAGTTCAACAAAACATTTCTTTTCTTCTTTTAAGAATGTACAAGACATGTCTTCATATTTATTTAAACATAATCATGCAATGTAAAACAAAAATCACACCAACATGTAAAAAATACATGAGTGCCGTATCTATCACATAATGTACTGTGTTATTCAGTGAACATACCCATGTCATATGTGTTTTTTTTGCTTATGAACCCATTTTATATCATCTATCAGCTCTGTGCATGGTTGTAGGCTTCAATGGTGACGTCACGTCTAGGACAAGTACATGACCTCCCAGACTAACCCACTGGAGTCAAAATGGCGGCTTTACATTTCAAGCTTGTATGAAAATTGTCGTTTTACACGAATAAATGCCACAATCTTGATTTTGTGATAAAAAGGATCTTACACCTGTTTTCATTTCAAATGAGATTTATGAAACTCGTCACGAATTTTTCAGAGGCTCGCTAAGTTGAAAAATTCTTGGCCTCGTTTCATAAATCTCATATGAAATGAAAACACATTTAAGATCTTATTTATATGTCAATGTATAATATACAAATAAGTAAAAGTTTATATATAGGTAGAATATATTATGGTTTATTATATACTTGTCGGTGATACGGGTTGTTTCGTATGTGAGATACTGCTAGCTGTGCATAAGCCATATTCTGGACCAACACATATCCACCTTGCACGCGCTATATCCACCTAGCATTCTCGATATCTGCCCGGCACGCGCCATAAGCGTTTAACTTCCGGTTCAACACTTTTCAGAAAAATCCCACCTCAAACTGGTAGTGTACACACTGTATATCAATCTATATTTGCTATACAGTTAATTGAGTTTTATTTATAGTAGTGTGATCATACTTGTTAGGAGATATATCTTTTCTGCGTGTGTTATGTGTTATTGCTGATATATTACCAGATGATCGTTTTAGCCCTCGAATCATCAGTCATTGGGCTGATACGGAGAAGTATATGGATATGGTCATATAATAACCTCTAAGTATATACTGAATAAAAACTTAATACGTAATATATACTGAAAATGGTTATACCAAGAGGTTGTGTTCAAAAACATAGTATTCCGAGCAGCAGAAACGAGGCAAGTTTAAGTGTTGGTGACACAACACTAATGGCAGCCATATTTGACTCGTTTTCATCGTCCTCTGGCAAAGTGGCGAACATCCTGATAGGCCCTCCACTCCCGTCTCTGATTTTCAGCAGTGATACAAAGATGGTTGATCCACTTTCTGGCAGTCGTTCAAGGTACGCTGCACTTTCTATACCAATGATATTTTCCTTGCTGAGGAGAAGATGAACAGGGAATGTATCTGTTTGGCCATAGTCGGTGGAGGGCGTGTCAACTCCGACGCAATACACCACACGACTTGATATAAGCCAATCAATTGCGTCCTCGTGCCAGCTGGGGAAGTGGTAGCTGGTTGAATCACTGATGTTGTTAGTTTTGAAAACAGCATTATAATTTGGATAGTACTTCTGCCATCCTGAGTTCATCAGGACAACAGCTCCGTACGGGATTCTGCCGTTGCGCGTTTCCCAGGCCATGATGTCGTCTTTAGTGACTCTATAGTCACTGTTCGCTTCGGCCTTGGCTTTCACGTCGATTATGACACCGGGACCTGCCAGTCGTTCTATGGGAATCTGGTGATTTTTCCAGGGTCCTTCTCCCGCTGCTACGTGGTTAGGAGCGTCAGCGTGCGTTCCTGTGTGCTCAGCAAGATCAATACGGTTGTTTTCCAACCTAAACAAAACAAGTTTTAAACATCATTTTCACAGTTCACACTGTTGATGAAGTACCTACTGGGTTTAACTTAATATTCCAGTTCGATTTAAAATGTTGTATTGACATAATTATCATAATCTAAACAACACCAAACTAACGTTTCAAGACCGACTGGTCTCTTTGTCAAGCTATGACTGAGTGAGCGATCGTTATTTTTTACCTGTACAACGATGTGACGAAATTGTAAACTCAGTCTGTCGCTCAGCTACGTGACGTTTCGCCTTGCGTTAGCGAATGTATCTACACTGTATGGATTACCACTATTGACCCAAACGGTAGACAAGGCTTATTTTACAACATGCCAGTGTCCTATTCGGTACAGTGTGTTCATACTCTCTATCGATAGACGGTACGTCCCGTAGGCGGGTACACATAAGTGTTCAAAATTTGTTTATAGTTTCTGATTCCTGCTAGTTATGTTAATATCAGTTTCAGTAGGCTTAGTTTTAACCCTCTATGCTCAGGTTTCGTTACATATTTTAAGAAAAGATTTATTAAGATTGAAAACGAGTTGTTAGAATGTAAAAGAAACACTGTCCCTATTCGAAGTGTTTCCACATAAGCATCGGAATAACTTAGATATGGGTATCCACTCTTTTGGTATTTAGTATCGCTGGAGAGTCACATCGAACTTATACTGTTACGTAAGGATTGAATCCTGATGTGTTCTGGTTGATGGGGTCGATGCTCTATAATGTGTTAATTCCTAATCCATGTTGACTACCTTGACAACCCCTTTCACGTAAACCTTAAATAAACAACCCGTCAACACCAACAAAATATTCAGGGCAAGACGACAGTTTAAATAGTCATACTGGGCCATACAGAGGTTTTAACGACCTATTAACGTAAATACGTAATACCGGAGTCACAGAGTCTTAACTTTGCATTTTCGCTATATTATATAAATAAACATTTAGAACACGTTTACCGCTCGACACTGAGGTAGCGCCTTTTAAACACTGTATACACCTACTGCCTTATCAGTGCTTGCTCGACTCGTAACACGGTTTTATCTACATTCGTGATATAGGCGGTATACCTTAGTAAACAGTAAACATGTGGAAACACTGAAACACACTATTTGGGGACAAAGTGTATGATAAGAATAAGTCTCAATAGAGCTAGTAAAGTTTATAGAAAAACATTGAATAATAGTTACAGAAATTATCAGGAGAAATTGTCAAACGAGTTAAGATATACTGCTAGAATGGATTAAAAAAAATCTGGAATATTTTGGATAAATGTATCGGATCTGTAAAGAAAGGTAATGCTGATATATGTATTACTGAACTATATAAATACTTTAAGGATCTGAACAAGTCTGTTCAAGAGGATGACGATTTTGAGCTGGAAAATCCTGATAATAGTATTTTTGAAGATTATCTGAATGGTGAAATTACCGCTGATGAAATTGAATTTTCTTTAATCAATTTGAAAATAGTAAAGCCTCTGGTATAGATCAAATCCAAAATGAATATCTAAAAATTACAATGGATGTATTTTTACCTGTTTATCGAAAAATATTTAACCTCATTTTGAATACTGCGTCTATACCAGATGCGTGGATGATTGGTATTATAAAACCAGTATATAAAAACAAAGGCGATCCCAAAAATCCGGATAATTATAAAGAGATCAATTTGGTCTCGTGCCTCGGCAAAGTGTTCACTTCGGTTATTAATAATCGTTTAAATGAATGTGACCTTATAAGCATTGCACAAGCTGGGTTTAGAAAGGGTCATTCTACAACCGATAACAGGTTTGTATCGTATTCCTAAATCTCAATAAAATTTTCATTAGGAAAAAAACTTTCATCGATTCCAGTAAGGCGTTCGATTCTGTATGGAGAGTTGGTCTGTGGAAAAAGCTCCAAAAAAGCAACATTACTGGAAAAAAAATCAATATTATTTTTACGTTATTTGATAAAACCAAATCAGGTGTTAAAAATGGATGTGAACAGTCGGATTTGTTCAATTGTGAGATCGGTTTAAAACAGGGCGAAAATTATCACCATTTTTGTTTGCAATTTATTTAAATGATTTAGAAACTTATCTTGTTGAAAAAAATGTAATTGCCTTCAAACAATAGACAAACTGTGTATTGACAACATTGGAGTGTATCTCAAACTGTTCATTATCTTATACGCCGATGATACTGTCCTGTTTTCAGAAACACCAGATGGTTTACAATTAGCTTTAAATGAATTTGAACAATACTGTAATTATGAATAAAACTTGACAATACGTGTTTCAGATCATTGTCGGTTTCTTAGATGAACTATTGATTGAGAATTGACGAAAGGTTACATATCCCTACCAATTAGTGTTTATGTGCGACGTTTCGATGACTAGGACGGTACGTACTCTGTCACCTTCATCAGACAAATGACCAGTGAAGCGTATGTGTACAAAGATGTAAAACTTATACGAGTTGGTAATTTAAATTAAATGTCAATTCGGAAACGCTATAAGCGTATTCACACGACGATGTTACAAATGTACTGAATGACGCATACAATCGACAATTGGATTCAGATACGCTTTGTTTAATAACTGGCCATAGATGTGCGAGAGTCTACAAGCCAAACGTTTTACGGCAGACAGGGGCAAAGCAACGGCAACACCGAGGATTATGAGGACAAGACCGTGACTACGCTACAGGATAATAAACCATATATGAAGAGCTTTAGACCAAACAGCCACAACAGCAGTAAAGGCGTCCCATAGCCATCCAGGCAAAGATAGAGCAAGAAAGCAACGTCACACCGCTTCACTAGTTATTTGTCTGATGAAGGTCACAGAGTACGTACAGTACCAGTCATCGAAACGTCACATAGAAACATTCCACTGGTTGTCATACACATCTGTCTGCTATTTATACTTACCAACAGGAAGAAAATGTTTACTAATATTTAAAGATTAACTTGAATATATATATATTTTTTTTTTATAAGGATTAATTTGAATATATTGTTCATGTTATGGAGATATAACACAAAAAAACGGAGTGTACTCTAAATAAACCGCGAAGCGGTTTATGATGAGAGTACACTCCGTTTGTTTGTTTTATAGCTCCATAACATGAACAATATATTCAAATTAATCCTTATAATTTAATCTGCTATACACAATCCTTGTGGAAATCCACTTTCATTGATGGACTCTTTTCTTTTAGAAATTATTGCGCTGCTGTATCAGTCAATCAAAAGCGACGTTACAAAAAGCGACGTCATTTTTTACGTTATGGGTTGATAACATAAATTGTTAAGCCAATGAAAATGCTTGTTACAAGCAAGATTTAATTATTATTTGATAACACGATTATATAGGAGACACCCTCAATAGTCGCCTCATACTATTCTTTATCATAAAATCTGCCTATAATCCATTGTCCACCAACAACAGAAAATATAAGGGTATTTGACAATAATAAGTTCTTTTAACATGTTAATAATTCCACGAATAGTTGATATGTCACAAACGTGCACTCGTCAAGTGATCTAAGTAACTGCGATTAAATCAAGAACAGTATAGCTTTCTCATATCAGATGTTAAACCTAATCGCCGAAGTAGAAAATGAAGCATCGGTGTTTAATCATGGATGCGTATCAGGAAGAATCGTACTGAGCCCTAGTTTACTGTTACAAATATTTCAAGTTCTTCTTATTCAGCCCTAAAACACCGATTTCACACACAACTACATAAAGATTTAGGGAATATAAAGCAATAGACCAAGTGCTGGCACACGCAGCAGGAATGCTCCATACCGGCATATCAATGTGACAGGAACAATTTAATTTACAATTTGTCAGTTATCGGTTACCAAAACATTTTAGGTAATTTTTAATTAAATATTGGATTTCAAAAAAAGTATTTCTTTTGGTACAATTGAACGCCTCAATTCGGGTTATTTAAGTTCAGTCAGCCGTTACAGACGTCAAGTCATGTTTCAGATATACCTATATTATCATTTCGTTATTCAAATGGCATTAGTGATGCAAAGGGTATGTATATTTTATGATTGAAAATCAAGACAGATTTCATAATATATTAATAACAAATAGCAATCGGAACAAATAACTTATAATAAATTTAACATTAATTGTAACACGATTGATGAAAACTTCTCAAAGACTAGAAAATGTGTTAATTTGCAAAACTCTGATTTTCACTTTTTTACAATTCTTGTTTAACGTGAAGACATTTTCCCTGATAAAAAATTCGCAATTGCATCTACAATTCTAAAAAAAACCACTCACACAAAATATCCATTTTGTGCAAATCTTCAAGTGTTTTCAGCCATTGAAAACATCAAAGTCCACGACATACTTTACAGACACTGTTTATCTTTAACGATATTCAAATATTTCTATCTTTACTTGAAATGAAAAGTTAATGCGTGTCAAAGCAAAAAGTTAGGGATTACACTCAAGTAAGCAACTATATTCATCATAACGCTGACGTGACATATCATGTGTAACCTAATTTATTCACAGTTTACGTTTTCTAACGATATAATGGAGTTACATAAGTCAGTTGCAACCTTCATATTTGATGTCTGGATTTTGTGAGTTCATGAATAAATTTACTGTGGGTGTCGCCTTTAAGACATGACCTCGATTTTCTAAAAACGTTTTTCGCTATGTTGTGGTAGGCGTGTCAATACAGCAGAAGACACTTACAATACCGGAACACCAGGTTTTATTTCACCGGTACTGATGGTCTATATTCTTAATAAAGAGAGGTTCCCCAGCGAGTAATGATTGGTCATCATGTTAATCTAACTCAAGTTAGCTGTTATTGTTAATAAAACAATTTCTACAAGTTTACATGGACGCTGAATGTGGGAAGGAAAAGTCTAGGTAAACTGTTCAATATGATCTATATGATACATGCATCATGTTGAAATAGACGAAAGCAAACATCACATTATTTCTAGATCTACAAAAGTTCTAATTATTACCTTGCATATTTCAAAAGCAATACAAGAGTGTTTTGTGTTAAACAATGTTAACTGTATATAACATCATGCATATACATTTTCTGTCGCTGTAATTGTACGTTTTGGTAATAAGAAATGTTAGCATGGTAAACGTACAAGTAGAAGAGTAGATTCTTACCACGCGTGGCCCCACATTCCGCGATGCATGATTGACATATTGAAGCGAGGGTTAAAAGGCCAGGTGATTGCATCCGAGTCCAATTCATAACTGAGGTCCACCATTTTCAGGCCAAAGTACCCCTGTATACACAGTCCAAAGACAACCAGGCGCTCCATCTTCGTCGTAAATTATGCCTGTTGAAATATTCTAACGATATTTTGTCGTTGAGTATTCCCAAGACTTGACGATTGTCTATAGTGAGAACTGTCACTCCGTCTCGGCCTTAACATTTGTTATAAATGAAGGACGTTCCTAGCCTAGACAGTCAACGCATCGCATTAACAACCACGTGATTCGTTTTATTACAGTTTAATAAGTGTTGTCACGGTCGGTCGCCCTGACATTTTCATCCAAGCATAGAGCTTAAAATAGAATTTTGTGAAAATCATTTACAAAGTTATCACAAAAAAACCTTAGCAGCATTGAAATATGAAAACATTAAAATTAAAATTTGAATCAATTACATTCTGATTTGCCTCAATATTGCTAACACTATTGCGGACAAGAGCAGCAGGAGTTAAGGTCAACTGACACAAAGAGAGGTCGGTGGGCGGGGTCTTAAATCGATCACAGAGTGGAATATATACTTCGCTGAATGTAGTGATCATTGAAGCAGTTTTCTTTGCGACAAACAAGTGCAAACGGGGTTCGAGGGTGCAGGAAATATCCATACCAAGAATGACTGAAAGAACTATATGTCTTAAATGACAAATTGCAATTGCTTTACGTTAATAGCGAACGGTCTTGCGTGAGCCCGGGAAGCGGGCTCACGAAGTGAGCTTCATAGCGAGCTCTGCGAGCGCTTTTTGTATCGTTCGCGTGGTATATAGTAAAAAAAAGAAATTACTACAATACTATGCAATATTTTTTCTTTACATCGTGCAGAACGGACTTTAAAACTTGTGAAGCTAAACAATCGCCGTTTTGGTATTCCAGTGTGAAAATGATATAAGAAAGTCTTTATATGTTGATAGAGCAGATTTATTTTATAATCTGTTCAAAACGTTTTATTTACTAAAATACAATCTGTAAGAAATTACTTCTATGCTGTTTCTAATACGTATAGTTTCTCAATACCACACCACACAGGTCGTCAATATACATGGGTAAAACGGAAACAAAAATGTCTCCAATGTACCATAGCCACAGCATTAAACGGAAAAAATTGAAACACGAAAACTCCGCAAAATTGTAAAAAGTCTGTGCAATGTACTTTTTCTATTAAGTATCAAAGACACTCCTGTCTCTTACCCTGGACAAGTTTATCCGGACTTTAACCGATGTGAGGTTTCCTTGTCTCACCGTAGGGTTGAGACGGGGGATTTGCTTATTCATAACAATGGTGTGACGTCACTTCAACAATACAATGACGTCACGTCAACAATCCCTCAACGTCACGTCAACCCATTGTGTATATGATACACGATGGGAGAACAGGGTAAGAGAAAAAGAATAATTCACCCCCTTGTGGGTGAGATAAGGAAATATCAACCCTCGGGGAAAGATTCTTTTTCTATTTAGAAATCATGTTTTTCCACGGTCTGAAGCCTTGGAACATACAATATTCCGCAGATTGGTAAATCACTGCATTAACCTCACATATATCAGGAAACTGGCTGAAAATTTGGGACACGCCTGAAAGAACCTTGGAAAGACCTTGAAGCCATGACACAGCAAGTCAACACCACAAATACAAGGATGACATCGGAGACACAATACAATAAATCAGTCATTGTATATCATAATAGCACACACAACCACACCATAGACTGGAGAGATCGAACGTATCTTAGAGGGAGGACAACTGGTAAGTTAGGAAAATAAAAAAAATACATCTTGGTTAGGAGAAAAGGGGATTCAATGGGCAGAGACGAAGGGGCCATCAGCCGAGTCATCTTTCTGACCCCATTTGCCTACAGTATTGGAGTGCTATCAGGCGAAATGTCTATATATGATTTTTGACAGCTGACTATACTGATTCGGCACACTGTATCTTAATTGTTTCAGCGGTGTAGAGATGAGACAACGGACGTTTTCACTATTTATTTGACAAATGAAACAGGCGTTCTCGAGAGCTACAAAAACGTCTTCAATTCCTATTTGTGTTTAATTTTGATTTATTGTATTGTGTCGCCCATGTCATCCTTTTATTTCTCCTTCCAATAATCTGCATACCACCTCTGGCGTATTATCGCAGATAGTGTAGACTTCAACGTTAGGTGTCTAAAACAAAAACATTACTAACACTGTTTGTGGTCAATGCAATAATTTATCAACTCTCGAAAAATCACATTTTCCACTGCATAAAGCCTTGGGACATACGATATCCCCCGGATTGGTCAATCACTGCACTGGCTTGAACGGATTTATAATTGTGTATTCTGTACACATTCATCCTGCTTTCGACCTTCAGTATATTCACCGATATATTCCACACACTTTGAAGGCTACAGACAACATTGTTCTAAACCAAGATAAGTAAGCATGGTATAAAGAGCTTCGTGTGCTTACAATAAAACTTTCACATGAATAAAAGTGATGTCATCGTTGTTTTAATACATATATGACCTTAAATGAGTTTTCATTTCATATGAGATTTTATGAAACGAGTCTTAGGAGTTTTCATTTTTGCGAGCCTTGACGAGCAAATATTAAACCTTTGAGACAAGTTTCATAAAAGCTGATATGAAATGAAAACAAATTTAAGATACCTTTTATCACATAACTCAGAAAACTTGCATTTTGACAGGTTTTAAAGCCAAAATGTAGAGGTTTAATCAAACGGAGACAGCCATTTTGTTTCGCCATTCACAATTTATGACGTCACGTCATTGTCCATATTATGACGTCACCATCGATTTCTGACTGGCACAGCCAATGAAAAACGCTCCAGGGTATCATATGTAAAAAATATTACACGGGTGAATTCACTGGATAACAGGCCGATTATGTGATAAATAATTGTATCAAAATAACGATGGGACATGAATATATTAAAGGATTTCTGTGGTTTGCGTTAAAACTGTTCGACAGCGAATAAGTCTGCAATTAAAGAAAAATATTTACGTTTCAAGGTGAATACACATCTAGTTCGCATGCCCGACTAGTTTGTATTATTCTCTGCTTAAATTTAAGTTCATTGTTCGCGGTAAAGCGACAAAAGGCGGCTAACTGTACGCGGAGAATACCTTTATATATTATGATCGCTCAAAGTAGGTCACGTTTAAATGATTGAAGCGTTAAACTTTCATTAATACCAGTATGTCATATAGAATACGAAGCTTAGCAATGTTAGGTTATGAGGTTCCTTTGTGCGTGCTCTTCATTTTCATTTCCAGGATTTGATCGCAAAACTGTATTTATGTACATGTATGTGCAAATCATTTATCAATTTTTAACAGGAAACGTTGCGAAAAACATTAAGTACGAAATGTGTTAAATGAAAACAAGAAGCCGAACACCTATGGATTGGAGTACGAGAGTTGATGGGAAAGCTACAGGAGGGGTAAATGTAATATATCGATGTGTAGAACAATGTTTTATAAGACATATGATATCAAGTACAACGAAAAATTTGTTTCATTGATATGCAAGAATATCATTTCTGCATTTCTTTGAGACAATACTTCTAAGATAAGGCTCAAAGATGTTAACGATTAAAAACAAAATAAATAATATCTACAGTATAATAAATCATATATCTATAGTACATAGTACATGCATGTCGAAAACTCTTCAAATATTCAACATTTTTGTAGGTAACATTTCTAGACTGAAACATTCCACGTGATTTTGGATCTGCTACATTAATGAAATAGTCGACGTGTTGCATGGCAACGGCCCCAACACAAGGTATTCCTCGAATAAAAAGGAAGAGCTATTAACTACATAATGCAATAAAAGGTACGGAACGTCTCAAATTGACAAATTTTGGGTAAATCCGTTCCCAGTGTCATTAATTAAGCATAAATCAACAGTAGATACGATGCATACATCATAGCAAAGGAAAACATACTTATTTGTCCTTAAAATGATCTTTGTCCTTTAAAATGAACTATGTCTAGACTTCGCGACTCCAGAAAAGTAATGATTTCGAGATGTTAATTTCAGAGAATTAAGATAATACCGTTAATAGTTAGCGTGAACAATCTCTGAACCGCTATAACCAATACTATAATAGTATATAAGTCCAGGTAAACAAACGCTTTTATGAAATGTTATGTCAACCTCTGAGTTTGGCAACATAGTAGCCGCCTTCTTAAGACTACGGAAACGTTGATGAAAAAAGGTCACCAGAAACATTCAACATGTATGCATATAAGCCGTTTCAATGCAAATTACCGATTATATTTTATTTCAAGAAATCCTAATATGGTATCAAATACAAGTAAAGCCCTATCAGTTTTATTAAATGTAAAAAAAGAACTTTTATGTTTCAGTATTCTGTTGTTTACAAGAATATTTAATATGCAAACGAACTTTGAAAAAGATAATTATAAAAAAAGAAACATGATTCAAATGAATTATGATCATAATATTTGATATAGTCACATGCAAATTCACAAAACACTAAACATATATGGATATGTTTGCCGTTACGGTTGACCAAATACATTAATAGTCATATGTTTTCATATGAATTGCAGGTATTTGTCATTACATACTTAATGATTATATATAAGAAGTATAACGACCAGTCCTTAGCGACGTACATATATATGTATCCTTATTATGACATTTCACAACTAAGGTGAGTACGTTAGCACTCCATAAAGGAATATGTTCGTTGCCAACTGCATGCATACTACCTTATACGCCGTCAAAGGCCAATCATAGTTTGATGTATAGCAAAATGTTTAAATACTGCACTAAGAAAAAACACAAGTGAGAGTGGGTTGCTAATGTTAACCACGTGACCCGTGTTTGAAATGACAATATGGTTCCAGTGAATATATATTGATATATTAGTAAATATAGAAAATATACAGTGAACAGCACTTTTGATTTGCTTTTGATTGCGTTTAAAATTAATTATTTTGTGTAGCCGATTGAACATATTTTCTCATATATATTGGTCGTTATGTACGTGGAGTTGCACACTGCTCATGTAGTGACGCGGTCGAATGTTCAATAGTAAAGCCAAATTGCTTACTTTACGGGAAAGGAAAGGTTAAGGAAAATTTCATTCACTTCAGATTTCTCCTTATAATCAATATAGTTTGATTTCCTGGAGTTAAGGACTGTTCGGGAAACTCGTATCTGACCCGAAAAAATAACAAACAGTTATATCCTTATAGAATTACAAACAACCTCACAACTTAGCATATATCCATACCGACACTTATTTGTGAATCAATGATCTCACAAACCTCATATTTTCCGTATTAAGAAGTGTGTTTTTTATATCTTTTTCATGATATTCAAATCCTTTTAATCTCAATCGACTAGAAATAGGCATCATAGACTATATATAAATAAAGTCAGTGCAATGTTTCAGAAAATATTTCTATCACATCTTTGTATACTTCCTGCTGTCTTATCATATAACAAATTCTCAAAGACGCTTGTTTATACGATCATGGCAAGAGCTATAAAATGTGATATAAGTTCTCGTAACGCAAAGGAGTCCAATGGGTCCTTTGACACATCACGGGGTGTTGTTGTTTTAGATGACGGTGTTGTTGTTATTGGAGTTTTCTTAGTTGTTGCTTTTGTTTTAGTTGTAGTGGTCCTGGGTGTTGTAGTTGTGGGCGTTGTGGTTGTAGTTGTAGGCGTTGTGGTTGTAGATGAAGGCGTTGTGGTTGTAGTTGTAGGCGTTGTGGTTGTAGTTGTCGGTGTTGTGGTTGTAGTTGTAGGCGTTGTTGTAGTTGTCGGTGTTGTTGTTGTAGGCGTTGTGGTTGTAGGCGTTGTGGTTGTAGATGAAGGTGTTGTGGTTGTAGTTGTCGGTGTTGTGGTTGTAGTTGTTGGCGTTGTGGTTGTAGTTGTCGGTGTTGTTGTTGTAGTTGTCGGTGTTGTTGTTGTAGTTGTCGGTGTTGTGGTTGTAGTTGTTGGCGTTGTTGTAGTTGTCGGTGTTGTGGTTGTAGTTGTCGGTGTTGTGGTTGTAGTTGTCGGTGTTGTTGTTGTTGTTGTAGGCGTAGTGGTTGTAGTTGTAGGCGTTGTTGTAGTTGTCGGTGCTGTTGTTGTTGTTGTAGGCGTAGTGGTTGTAGTTGTCGGTGCTGTTGTTGATAACTCAAGACATGTTGAACAGCAGATTCCCGTCCGAATGATGTTGCTATATCCCGAACATTGACTAGCCTGGCAACCGAAGGTAAGATCGTCTCCAAGTGGACAGATTTCTACGGACAAAAATCATTTTGTGTTAAAATCGACGATACACTTGTTCTACGCCATAATTCTTTTTACTTATTATAGAAGAAATCCAGTCAAAACACCAGAACAAAAGCCCCGTTAGATGATTGTGTGCTTAGTCAAATATGTTCATAGAAATATTATTTGGATTAAAGTTGCGTATATGAATATTCTTCAACAAAGAATTACCATTTCAAGTATAGTTGAATATTAAATATTCTTTGCTAATCACTTGAAATCTTATATGAAAGCATAAAGTTCTTTACGCGTTTCACTTAAGTTGGGAAACTACTTTGATGGCTGAAGAATCTCTTTGATATGAGGAACATCAGTGGTATCTTAGAGTGCGGACAAACAGATTCATCATCTACATAACATATTTGATACTACAAATCTCAATACTAAATTAACTTGAAACATACCTTACCAAGTGTGACATTCTAATTAAAAAATAAGTAATTATGTAACACACCTGATCTGGAAGAAGATTGTTGAGAACTCACACAACGCCCCTTTTCACACCACTGTAAAATCAATAATGTATTTGAACATCAAGAAATACACAGAAAGAGGGTCTTTAAATCGGCTACCATCTTCTTTTTAAATAATACTTTATTCGGAATAATAATTTGATATCCTGCTGTCGATATCATTATCAATCTAAAGGAGAAATTGTATCCGTGCGCAGATGGTATGGAGCAATTTATCATAATGAAATTATAATAATAAGCGGTAACAAATATCCAGTTTAAAAAACCTTGAAAATCTAAAAAAAAAAAGAGAGAAATTTAATAGGAAAGTCTGGTTATCCTGATTTGATGGTATGCACTTAAGTTTGGGGGTTTTGGCACCTTTTAGATGAACAGTATGATACATAATGCTACTGAAAATATCAGCATCCTTCGACTTCAAACAAGAATGTTAAGTCAAGCTTGTGGCCGAGCAAGTGTTAAATATAATATATTTCATATGGTAGCTTACGCATCAACAACTACAATAATATCAATAATTAATAATAATGATGATTCCAGGTTCTTATAGACCGCTTTATCGCAACCTAGTTCGAAGGTTGTCTCAAAGCGGTTCACAAATTATAATTCGTGGTTATACAGCCTTTACAACCAGCCAATATCATTCTCAACTCCCTTGAGAACAAACAGCCGGTGCTGCCACGTCGGCGCTCACATCTAGCATTCAACAACTCCAGCACTGTCCAGCCACGTACTCATTTACAGCTGAGAAGACTGGAACAAGCTGAGTAAAGTATCTTGCTCAAAGATACAATAACTGCCGTGACGTGACTCGAACCCGCAACACTAGGGTCACGGGCCCGGCCTTCCTACCACTAGACATCCATGCCTCAAATATGGAACACTAAACAAAGAGCGACATCAAAAAGATGTGCGGATGCACATACGAGAACATAATACCTTCATGTGTCCACAAGGTGTGCCATCATAGGCCTGACGACGGTTGATGCATGTGCTGGTTCCAACACGTCGACATTCAAGCTGATAGCAAATTGTTGCCCATTTAAGGGGGTAGTTCACGTACTTATCCTGTAATGAAAATGGAAGCGACAACTCAGTGACTGTCAAGACGTCCAACAAGGGTTATTAAGGTCACCGAAGCCTACGAAGATCAATGAAGGCGTCAAAGGTCAACAATGGTTTCAAGGAGCGAACAACACGCTCAATGAACGTACAACGAATAAAACAGGCGTAACATAAAATAACTGTTTTGACAGCGAATTCATCAATTCATCACTTTTTCTTCAGATATCGGTGTTATGATGAACGTGTTTGAACCGGATACTCTCGTCAAGCCTAGCGGACATTTTTTATTTCTGATACAGGAAGCGAGACTCCACTTCAAAATACTGTAATGTAATTTCTGCATCAAAAATACCTAGAGAGCGACATTTTCTAAGATGACAAGATTCCATATTACTGGAAATGCTTTGTCAGGAGAATTGACAAGTTTAATCAAATATTTCGGCAGAATTCATTAAAAATATTAATATGGTATTGCCATTGCTCTTCGCAATTTTTATGGAAAAAAAGCAAATTGAATTCTTAACAAATAAACAATTTTTGAATCCATTTGCAGGCATTACAGTTCTCGAAAATTGACTGATTTACAGTTTTTGGTTCCCCAGGTAATGGTCAGTTTACAAGTTGACATACCCGACATATAACCCAGTCTTGCTCCGGAAGTGTGTGACATTGCTGATCGACAGGGTATACATTGCCTGGTTTCTCCGTCAGGGTCACCATGCTAAGAATGTCCGGCACGTTCGATAAGCAGTCACTAAAATTAGAATAATTTAAATTTAACTGATATAGTATATTTACTGATGATTTGGATTAAACCGTTGGGGTGTCATGAGAGACACTTGGTGAAACAGCATTTTATTTAATAATCAGGCAATGTTATCATATGTATGTAATTTCTGAGGCATTGGAATACATAAGAAAAAGGAGTAACAGATGAAGAAATAAATGGTTATAATGATACAGTTGTAGAGGACATCAAATAAACTCCCGGTTCTAAGATGGCTTCATATTAGACGCTAAATGCTATCTGAGTTTCACCTAATGGTACATATTAGTCGAATTGTTTTCCTTTACTGGCAGAGGCTCCGTCACTTATAAGCAAAACAATTACACAAAAGGTCATTCGGGATCACGGAGGGAAAATATATCAAAAGAGACAAGAGTAGTATTTCACTTCTTTTTCTGGCAACACTACGTGCCATTTATTTTTTTCATATCCGATACTATACAAATGCAACACAGGAATGAACATAATCATAATTGTTATAAATTAATGAAAAATACTGTAAAACTATATGAGTACAATATTTTTTATTTGCTTTCACCTATAACTGTAAAATATTTCTCGTATCTTGAAATCGGCTGATGTCAAAAGTAGCGTACTGTTTCCTTCTGTCATATTACATTAAAACATATTTGTATTGTTATGAATTGTGATCTATCTTTCTCTAACTCCAGCATTCGATACAGAAAATACCATCACTTTTCCCACTTTTCTCATTTAGTAAAAAAAAAAAAACCATTTTTTTCGAATGAATTACCGGAAACGAAATTTGCTAATATAAAATGTTATCTGCGATGATTTTGTTTGGCGTCTTTCATATGATACTCCATGCAATGCCATTATAATTACTCAAGAAAATGGATAGCTTACATTTCGAACGAAGTATATCCGACATCAATTGTATAGAACGTATTTGTGTAATTTTATCATAATTATAAAGCTTGTATTTTGGGCTATGTTTACAAGAATATACTTATCGAGGATTGACATTGTAAAAGAAGTAAATCTGTTCTCCATTTTCAGGAATAAATATTGACAAAATTCTGTGAATAACGAAGCATATTTCAAATAACTGTTGAAAATATTGACTACAAAGTTTAATGTTTTTTTTACTTACATGATTAGAATTCAATCGAGAACAAAAAAAGGGAAATCATACAAAGTTATCTACCTTCACAATGTGCCATTCCCCAATGAAGCAATTATTTAAAAAGAAAATCTGTATTAGATAAATAAAACAAAACAGTATACAAGAACGTACTTTCATTTTTAGAGACAAGCTAAAAGACATGTATCATGAAAACAAAATGGTATTATCAGAATTGCGCAGTTTAAAGACACGGGATGCTTTTCTTATCTAGCATCACCAATATATTTGATTTTTTTAGTTACTTTTCTGTGGAATTGTGACACCGAATTTTCAATATCTGTTAGAGATTATATAGAAATTGTAAATGTATGCTTACCTTCCCAGCTTACTGAGGTAAATGCCAATCTGAGATCTCGAACAGGACGAGAACTCGTACGGGTTTGACGCGAGAGTCTCGTTAACAGCAGGAAGTCGTGGTGCCATAACATAGTGAAGAGCGCTTGAACAACTTCCGGAGTTACTTGCATCATGGGTAGCGCCAAGGCTGTGATGTTTTAAAAATAGATTATTCACATTATTAAGGGAGATATTAGAACAGATAGCGCACACAAGATAAGTATAGTGTCGTATAATGCTGATTTTACTTCTCCTCCTATTCGTCTAAAAATAAATATGAACATGTTCTATTTTGCTAGTGAAACGAAAGCTTTTCTCAGTCGTAATATTTCAAAATAACTAATGTCAATCCAAAAGGAAATAAACAATGCGAAATGGAAGAATACCGGAAACAAAAAGCTGGAACTATTTATTACTTAGTTTTGGTACATAATTGGTTACTGTTGCTTTCACGATTTGTCAAATGTTAGCGTTTTAGTCTACAAAATTCTACTGTTTTGATTGATAACTCTATGTAGATTAAAAACAATACTCGAAACCAAACATTCACAAGGTGCATGATTGCATGTATATTTCCCTCATAGACGCAATTATTACACTCCACGAAATCAATGCTATGATAATCAATCTCTCCTTTCTTACTGATGGTTGCTAGATTATTGGATGGCTAGGTTACTGGGACAATATATTTTTTTATAAAATATGTAGCATCTGTCCCCCCCC